TCGCTGCAATATGATCTTTCTAAAAGTGAAAAATAAGAAATTCTGCAATCAAGATAATCGATTACATATTCTGAGTATCAGTAAGGAGAGTTCTATTAAAATTACTTCATGATTATCAAAGTACCCCATGTCTATGTCCCGTCGTTTTCTATTAGTTGTAGCTACTCTTTACTTTTAATTTTAGTTTTATTATGGGCCTAATAATGTTAGAAACTAAATATACTTACATGCTATGTGATACTGGAGTATGTAAATTTTGTTTTGTGTGCTTGCAATCGATTTCACTTTGTATTTATCACTGACAAAATTACTTGACTTTTTGTCACATACGTATATTTACATGAATCAATAAAGCATGACTTTTTCACCACGTAGACGGCTTTTTTCCATCCATGTGCTCGTCATCACATGCATTTCGTTTTTCATATATTCTACCTCTTCTTTTTTATTTTACCTTTGCATTTCTAGTTGTTGCGATGATAAAATATACACTGATATTTGCATAGGCGTAAATTTGAGTCATAATGATTCATTGGACTTTGAGCTTCACTCTAATCTATATAAATGTTTTCTATTGTAAATTCTTTTTTTGAAACTGATGATCGTACAAGCAGTGTTGAAAGCTTCTAAATAAAAAAATAAAAAATTTTATATTTTATATTTTTTCGATTTATCAAAAACTCTGTTGACAACTCAAACTTCATTAACTGCATCCGAAGGAAGTATAGTGAACGTACTTTAAGAAGATTCAGATTTGCTGAGATATTGACAATGAAGTCATCAAAAGCCTATTGCGATATTAAATTTTTATATGTGAAGATCATTTATGGTTTAATTTCTGTATTCTCCTCAGATTTAAGTTAGAAAATAAACATCTTGCTTCATCTTGTATATTGATGCTGTACGTGATCAAACGCGAGCTTTTTTCCTCCTTCTGGACAAATTAGTTCATAATTTTTTGGCAAAATTACTGATTATTTCACAATTGAAATTACCTAGCAGAGGTTGGGAATTTTGCGTAGAAGAGGGAATCATTGAACCTCTTAATATAAAAACAGATATTGAATGTGCGTAAATAAAGCCAAAGATGAGTCAAAGAAGTGAAACATCTATGGAGAACGATTCTGCAATAAAATTAAGTGATGAAGACTGGATCACATAAAAAGACCTAAAAATAGACAATTTCTTAGTCATATTATGAGCTAACGAAGGTGACGCAGCGTTATGCATGGAAAAAAGTGATTATATGAATAAAGTAACTCAGAGTGTGCAAGATCCAAAGAAGTTTAATAGAATAGAAAATGAATAATCAGGAAAAGAAGAAAAATAAATCAATAGCGGACTGCTGTAATCATTGATAGATTAAAAAATAATAAGAATAGAATACCATGAATTACTTGTCTTAGGTCGCTCGATTTCAGTGTTTTATTTTACATGAAGACACATAAACTCAATTTTCCATTAAGGCTAATAATTGCGATGTATAATGCTACACATTATAAACTTGCAGCATTTCTTGCTAATATGATAAACAAGTATGAGAAAGGAAGTCATTCATATATTAAAGGCCGATTTCAATTGATCGATATTATGAAGGAAACATTAATAAGAAACAATGAATTAATGATGAGCGTTGATATAAAATCGTTATATTCTAATGTAACCGCCAGTGAAGCCATACAATTAGCTGTCAATCTCATATGAAATAGTAATAAGATACTGTGTGGATGTAGGATGTAAACGAAAGAAGTACATCATTTACACTGGCAGTCACATTCTTAACCACCCATATTTACCCTCGAGTAGATATGGCTCGTGTTTGCGATCTGTAAGATTATTTTATGGAGCTTTTAGTCTTAAAACATGTCCTAATCGTTTACGAAATATAGGTTATTTTGATGCATTAGATGTATATGATACCTCTCTGTCATCGACAGTGAACGAAAGTATCCAAAACATTAGAGCTCAGATTGATTGGGATAAGACGGTTATACACGCCTAATGAATTTAATATTAGGTCTTTCTTACATATATGGTTATAAACATGATTATTATAAAAAATCTTGCATATCTATAATTATTAGGAACAAACCGAAAAATTTTATGAATGTCCATTACTATCCGGACACAACTGTGCATCGACTGTTATTTTTGAATTAAAAATGACCATAATCGTTAAGTGTTCATCTTCATGTCAGTAAGTTATGACCATTCTGTACTGGACGAAAGAACTACAGACTGAAACCAGTTAACCTTCAAAAAAAAGTGTAACACGAATTTATTATTCCTATGTTTCCTTCATTTCAACTACATATATTAAAGATTTTTATACGAAAATAGTTTGAATGTTAAAATGGCGATAATAAAAACAATTGGATTCAATACTGAATGTCGTATTTGAACGTGCCAATTGAGTCATCCAGATTACAAAAATTTATAATTTACAATAAGCAACCAAACAATTTGTTTCAAATCATGTCATTCCTAGATTTTATGCTTGTTCAGTAAGACTACCAACCTACCGAGTTTATAGAATTCAGTTCATTTTGATCAGGTCATCATGTATAATGTTGAAATCTCATAGTAATGTTTGAAATGACTTCCTTGCTCATTGCTAAAGAAAATATAACAATACTGATTATGTGTTCGATATTGTAATATATGATCTGCGAACGATGAATGGAGACTCATCCTTTACTTCTTTGTATTCAGAATCTCGTGGGCAATGATTATAGGATCACTTTATAAATTAATTAATTACAATATTTGATCGTCGTTTACATAATTGCAAATATTTTTGTCAAAATGAATTGGTATTAGCAATTAATACGATGATTACTACGAGAATGTTGAACAATTTGTAATTCAAGAAGGAAAAATAGAATTGATGATTCGGCGATAGAATGCCCTAGAAATAGTGAAAATGGATTGATCTCATTTCGAAGACAGTGTAGGTGTGCATATTCTTGTGGTGTTCATCCAATTAAGACACTCACATCTCACACCCATTGATTTAAATAAGATTTCTATTTGGTTTACTTAATTCAACATGAAATTCATGCGTACTTTCAACACAATTCGTATGACTTAATGAAATCATTATTAATCTTGCTTACAACTTCTATTATATAAAAAAGTAATGAATTACAAAAACAAAAAAAAGAATATTCAATTTACCGCTAATAGAAACTTGATGTGATTGTTGTTTATCTTCAAGTTTAATAGCAAACTTTGTACCATCAATCATTTTCTATTCTTTTATTTCTAATCTATAAATTTGTCCATTATTTATGACTATAAATCGGTTATCATCATCGGCATATTTTTACCATATAACTTGGCAATGTTCTTTACTTAATGTACAACGTATTTTTAATGATTAACTTTTCAAAGATTTATATGTTTTACATTCAAATACTAATTATTGTTTTTTAATGATAGTTTTAATTTCGTCTAATAGACGAACAAATTCATCAGGTTATTGTTTAGTAGTTACCTTTTGGGGATGTTATTCTTTCTTGTCGACAGGTGCAATCATAAAGAACTGCATTGTCTAATTCAAGACTATATATCATTAAACATTGAATTTTATTATCAACTTCGAATTGATATTAATGATTTGGGCGAATTTTTATTGTATCTTTATATTGACGACATTCAATAACATATTGAGAGTATTCATTAAATGTCTATATATTTTAATATATTATAAATTGAAGTTATTTTAATCTAGATCATTAAGAACGTCCAGGGAAATGTGCGTCAGTCAGACACTTATTACGATGTTTTATTCACTTTTTAAGCATCACTCGTAAAATTTTTAATGTTAATTGGTTTCTAGCAGCATTTTGGAAAAAAAAACATCTCATAACTCTATAGCACATCATCTACCAATAAATCTGAGCGTTCGAGGGGATCAAAATCATGCGATTGTTATCTGGAAGTTGATTAAGAATGGTTCCTTAAAATTACTGATAATTCCTATCTTTTAGACTACTTTTTTATTGATGATTAAGTATTTCTTGTTGTTGACTGAATTTGAAGGTTTGAAACTAAAGTTTCCTCAGGAACATTAACTTGATGATCCTTAATATACACAAAAAAGTTTTCAATCAGATCTGCTAAGTGCAAGTATAATTATCACGTACGCAATCGTCGTTGGACTGAAATCGAGATCGATCAAGTAAGCAATCCTTTTTCTGACCGCAATAATGTTTTTTCTCTAGAATTATAAAAGAAAAAATATTGAATTACTGCAAAATATTTGACTCATCTGTCATGGAAATCAGAGAGATGTGGTGTGAGTGTGGGTGTAAACATCACCAAATTGAAGACACACCCACATCCACCCATACCATCTTATTCAAGAGTATAGATCAAATACAATCAGAGTTATTTCATCAACACACCCTCTCAAAGCTGATTTTATCATTTCTATTAAAATAGACTTTCTAAATTATTCATTACTGCTTGAAAATTTTGTTTCAAAGACATACATGTGTTGTGACATCACTTGGCACGTTCTAATATGAAAATATTTTATGGTAAGTATTAGACTACCCCAGTTCCTTCTTGATGTTCGTTTTATTTCGAGATTGAATCCCCTCTTAAGCGAGTATAGAGAGCTATATATAGAGAGAAATAAAGCATCAAAGAATGCGAAATGAATAAACAAATACCAATGAGTCAAAGAGTGATACATATGACTGTAACATACCTCCCCACCGACAGAAATGTGGGTCCACACACATTAAAACGAACACCAGCAAAATTGAAACAATCGGATTAGATGATAAAAAAAAATGTGATAATATGAAGAAAATATGCAGCAGTATAATGATGCAGTAGAAAGAGAAAAAACGAAAGAAACTGATAGAATCTGAATATATAATCGAGAACAAAAAATATGTGTGTATGCAAAATGATAATATGAAAGAAACGATAATATGGTAGTGTTATTACAAATAAAAGAAGAAACGAAACGAAGGTTGTAAGTACCTTTAAAATTTGAGAGGTGGTAAAGCAGGTGAAGATGCATAACGTATAGCAGGTGGTTGAGTAGCCTGTTCTAAAGTGTCGAGACGACGAAGGGTACTCATAAGTATGTTGCCCATCGGATGAAGTTGATTAAGGCCAGATGCTTCAAGTGCTTGAAGAGCGAGAGGTTGACGATGACGTATAGATCGACGAAGGCGGCGATATGTGAAGAATACAACTGCGAGGAGAATAATGATGACGATACCAATTGCAACAGCACCTCCAATGAATATGTTGTTTGTCTGATCACGATGAGTGCTGTGTGACTGTTCTAAGACGGACATGCGTTGGTGTATTTCAGCATTAAGGAATCGTTTGACTCGATTTTTGGGAAGAATCGCAAGGCATGAAAAAATAAGGTTGAAGAAGATAGCGATGAAATTGAACATGGTTAGTAGAAAATGAGGATGTACAGAAGTGAGAAATAAATGATGGATGAAGAAAAGTATGAAGAGATATAAGGCGATGATGAAGGGAGGCGTTCGACAAAAATGGCAGAGGTGAAGAATGCAGATAACAATAGTAGGAAAGTGTATGATGAGTAACAGAATGTATAAAAAAAAACATACTGCGTATGTTTGATAGTATGTATTGAACGGTTGAAAATTAACATAAGTAATGGATCGTTGATAGATAACTATCTAATTGAGACTGGAATAAGTAGATCGACTGTTACTTGTCTTGTCAAATCCAGTAGTTTGACATGTTGAACAAGATATGTTTTAACACCAAGACGACGTATAATCCGAAATGGACCTTCATATCGAATATCAAATTTGTGACGTGAATGAATATTTTTTATAAGAACTAAATCGTTGATGGAATATGTAGGATTTGAGCGATTGGTATCATATCTAGATTTGTACTGATGTTGTGCATGAATGATATTTGTTTTCGCATTGTTTGTTAGATGTGATATGTATTGACGTATGTTCTGAGCATAGTGAGATGACTGTTGGAGGGAAACGTTTGGGTTTTGTAGATCGAATGGTAGGACAGGTGAACGTCCATACATAAGTTCGAATGGAATAGTTTTAATAGTGGAATGATAACTTGTGTTATAATTAAAGATGACAAATGGAAGGTTATCATCCCAATCAGATCGATATTGATTAGATAAGGCAGCAATTTTTGCATCCATCGTGCTATTGAAACGCTCAATTTGACCATTAGTTTGAGGGTGATAGGGTGTTGCGTACAAATGAGTGATACCGAGACGTTTGAGTAGATGTTCCATCATAGTTGATGTAAAATGAGTACCATTATCTGTAAGAACACATTTCGGTGTGCCATATTTACAGATAACCTCTTCTTGAAGAAATCGAGCAGCAGTATCAGCAGTACAATCACGAACTGCTTTTGCAATAACGAATTTGGATAGAACGTCAGTGATTGAAATAATGTATTTGTTGCCACGTCGACTAGTAGGAGTAATTGGTCCGTGAAAGTCCATTGATAATAAGTGCCAAACTCCTTCCGGTGGTTCGATCGGTTTCAGATGACCAGGAGGTTTGCAGCGAATAGGGTTATTTTGATTACAACGAATACATGACTTAACATAATTAGTTATATCGCTGTTCATGGTATTCCAATAGTATCGAGCTTTGATTTTCTTTATAGTTTTGTCACGACCGAAATGTGCGCCGTTAGCTTGAGTATCATGATAGATTTTCATAATATCATTTCGAATTTCTCCTTTCGGAACACATGGAACAGGTTTTGAGTGTTGTTCATAATGCATTAAGAGACCATCCTGTAAAAGATAAGAGTTAATATATTTATTATCATTAAGATGATTCGCTATGTATTGTAGATCAGGGTCCTTCTGTTGTGCTTGTTTCAATTGATCAATAGCACCAGTATATCCAATACGTGCACTATCAGTAGTAGTTTTAGAAGTTGATGATGTTGATTGACGATTTTGAACGTCAGAGCGATTGGTGTTTGGTGGAGTGGTAATATGATTATCGGATTGTGGTAATTGACGAGAACGAGAACGAGTAGTGACCATACCGACAATTGATGATGTTGAAAAAGTGTCGTGGTCACTTGTATCAGTTTGAGTACTGATAGAGGCAGAAGTTGGCATAACGTTATCGTCAATGTCATCTTCAGCGTGATCGACTGGTGATCGAGATAGATAATCAGGCATGGTGTTTGATTTACCCTTGATGTGTTTTATTGTGAAGTTGTATGATTGTAGCCGTAAACGCCATCGTTCACATTTGTCGTTCGTTTGAGATTTACGCATGAGTGCTTCTAATGGTTTATGATCAGATTCTAAGATGAAATGATTACCGTGTAAATAGTGATGCCATAATTCAACAGCTTTGACGATCGCATAACACTCCTGTTCAATAGGAGACCAGCGTTGTTGAGCAGGTGTAAGCTTCTTAGACATATAACATATAGGACGATCACCTTCAGGATAGGTTTGTAATAAAACAGCACCGATACCAAGTTGTGAAGCATCTGTTTGTATTTTAAAAGGAAGTTGATTATTGGGAAGTCGAAGAACAAGGTCGGTAGTGAGTATGTGTTTGATTTGTTCGAAAGCAGCTTGTTCGTCAGCCGATAATGTAAAAATTGTAGGTTTAGTATTAGATGGATGTGTAGAGTTGGAAGGATTATATTTATATAAAGGACTAGCAAGACGGGAAAAGTTGGAAATGAATTTACGGTAGTATTCGGCTCCTTTTAAAAAACGAAAAATCTCTTTCGGTGTTGTTGGCGTTGGAGTTTCCAACAAACCGCGTATATTATCATTATTTGGACGAATTTCTCCACGACAAATGTGGTGACCCAGATAATTGATGCTATCAGTAGCGATGGTACATTTCTCGAAACTTAGACGAAAATTGTGTGTGTGAAGTAAATAAAAGATTTCATCCAAATGAGAAACATGATCGTCAAAAGTTCTCGAAAAAATGACGACATCATCTAGATACGCTAGACAATGTTTCCATCGAGCAGGACCTAAAATTTGGTTTACTATGCGTTGGAACGTAGGTGGACCATTTTTTACACCTTGAGGGAGGACTTTGAATTGATAATGATTATCGCGAGTGGAAAATGCCGTTTTAGGACGATCATGAATTGCTAATGGAATTTGAAAATAGCCGTTTTTAAAGTCGAGTGTGGTGAAATATGTTGACTGAGACAGTTGATCGAAAATATCTTCGATGCGAGGTAACGGGAATGAATCTTTGACAGTAATATCATTTAGTTTTCGATAATCAACGCAAAATCGTGTAGTACCATCTTTCTTACGCACTAATACGACAGGTGAGCACCAAGGTGATGTTGATGGTTCGATACTATCTTGTTTTAACAGTTTGTCTGTTTCTGCGGTAATAGTTTGATGATCTTGAGGTGAACGTCGATAAGGTGGAGTGTAGATTGGTCGATGTTGACCGGTATCGATCACATGATCGACAGTGATATTGATTTTTGATGGTTGGCGTAGGTCGAACAGTTTACCGTATTTCCAAAGGACATCTTGGATTTTTTTGCGATGCGAGGCGGAGTCGATGTGTTGTGTTAATGTTTCAATTTGATGTCGTAATTCTTGTGGATAGCATTGTACACGAAGATGATGAAAAAGATTGTTTTGTGATAAAAATTTCTGATGACAGACGTAGCATTTATGTGATGAATTCAGAGAATAATGACGCATTTTTGCTGATCGAAATTGTGTTGACTGAGATTGATATGGTGATGTTGTTGCACATATTAGTAATAATGAAGAAACAGTACCGAGACACGTATTTGAAGGTAAAATATATGGATGATTGGTGGTATTGATAATAGTTAACTGTGTTTGAGAATTAGTCACTTTAATTAAAGCTGTTGGAAGTACTACTGCTTTTTGACTAAAACTTGAAGACGGTTCAAACAACAAATTTGAACTATCTGGAAGATGTACTGCGGCTTTGATAACAGATTCGGAGTATTGTGGAATAGTAATTTGATCGAGTAATCGGACTGTACAACATGATGTATTGTTCGATTGAATGAGTGATGTGGTGGTAGTTTGACCTGTATTATCTTGCAAAGTTAAACGTTGTGTAGAGATATTCATATATAGAACATATTGATTGATCCAGTCAGTGCCTACTAAGACATCAGTGACGAGACTCGAAGCAACAGAAGCCGTTACAAAAGTGGAGAGACCGTTAATTTTTATTTCAAGTTGAACTTTACCGATTATGTTGATCGTGGTACAATTAGCCGAGATATAAGAATTTTGTGAAGGTTCAAACGTATTGTGATATATGCGTTGTAAAAATTGATTATGGATAATAGTGATACTGGAACCAGTGTCCAGGAGAATATTATGATAGGTGTGATTGATTTGAGCACGAATAAAAAAAGGGTTTGAGAATGTTGATGATGATGGCATAGTATTACTGAGATCTCCGCCATCTTGAGTCCCAGTTATTGAAAAACCTGGGGACAATCACGAACATTATGGTTATGGTTACCACATTTGTAACAGCCACGTGGCTGTCTATGATAGCAGTCGATAGTACGATGATTCGATCGTTGACAGATCAAGCATGGATAGAAGTGATTCGTTTGCGTAGGACGAGGACGATAGGCACGTGATTTGTTAAGAATGTGCATGTAACCTGTGGTACGAGTATTTTGAGGGATTTGTGAATGAAGAGAATTTTCAGAGCTGCTTTGTTGTTTTTGAGTGACGGCAGTAACAGGTGCAAAATATGGGGATGTTGGAAAGATTGATTGTTGGGTTTCAGAAGGAATTTCGTTCAGTAACTCTTCTTCATCATGAGCGATCTTCCAAAAAATACCTGGTGTTGGTTCATCATCGAGCGTTTTGAGGCGACGTTTGACGTGTATTTTTAAATCATTGCGCATACCATCTTGTAAATAATCAACGATCATATGTAGCGGCATATTTTGATCAACTTGTTTACATAAATCAATAATATCATCATAGTAGGCGTTAAGTAGTTCACCAGGTTGTTGTTTTCTTTCCTTCAGTCGCGTTTTGATAGCAGAAAGAGATGGTTTAAAGCGTTCAAGAAGATGTTGTTTTAGATCTCGCCATGTTTGTAGATGGTCTTTATTGTTATCATACCAATTAAAGGCAGATCCTCCTAATTTAATAGTAGCGATAGAATGTAGCATCGATTCATTCAATCCAGCGAAGCTACCGATGTGTTCAACAGCATTAATAAACTGAGTAACTTTCTGATTAGGATCGCCAGTAAATTTGGGTAGTTCCTTTAAAGCAGTTGTATTAAGAAGATTTTGAAAA